GCATCTTGTGAAAAGTAAAAGAGATGATTACCTGGTGAGAAATGTTGGAAGTTCTCTTTCACCTTCCTTTCTTGTCCCACCTATGAATTCTTATTTAAAAAATGCTTATGAGAAGATCTTGAAAACAGCTTTATTGACATATAACCTGTGTGCTTTATAAGTAAGTAACTTATTTAGAATGAACAACTCAATGATTTTTGAGTAAATGTATAGGTTTATACAATCATAACCATAATTTTAGGATGTTTCTATCACTCTTCTCTGTTGGATCTTTTTCCCTCTTGGTGTCATTTTCCATTTCCATGCTGCCCAGATTTGCTCATAGGTATAGCTCTGGGAAATCATTTTTAACATTGAAAATCAATGTAAATGTTCTGTTTCCACATTATCTAGCTTACTTCCTTGAGATAATGCCCCATCAGCAGTTATCGAGTGACCATTTGTTCAGTCCACATTCACTACTAAAGGTGTCATGAATTTAATGGCAATGGTCTCAGAATTTTACAGAAATTTTAAATTTATAAAACAGGAAGTATAAAACTAGATTGTAAATTCTATTTGGGAAAGAGCTGTTTCTTTTTTGGTTTCCTGTTTCCTATATGTCTGCTATGTTGTCTATTGATAAATAATTGCTGAACAAATGCCTTTCATTTTTGTTTAACTGATTTGTACAACGTTATGAAATAGGCAGGCAAAAACAATTTGTTTAGTGTTATGGATAACACAACGCACAATTGGAGTGGTAGCGAGTTGTCCAAGATTACTCACTTATTAAATACCATCACAAGGACTTGTACTGCACTCTTCAAGACCAGTGTGCCTTTAACTATACAGGACTATTTCTGAATTATATTTTGTGTAATCACAAGTCTCTTTCATCAGAAAATTAAAACACACATACATATCTCAAATGACTTAACTCATTTGAGATGTGTGTGTGTTGAAGAAAACTCATTTGAGATATGTGTGTGTCTTTTAATTTTCTGATTTGGATGTAAACCCCCGTCTCCCAAGAGGTCAGCACTGTGGGACTCACCTCCTCAGTCCTGTAAACTGCTTAATGAGTGGTACCATCATTTTGTAGGTTCATTTGGAATATATGCATGACAGTCAGTTTAGAAAAAGAAATAAAAGATTTTCTATAGTATACCATTTTAGTTGCTCTGTGGTTGTCATATATAATTAGGTAGTTTAGCCATTTCTTATGCTTAATTTAAAAAAAACTTTACATGTTAATATTTATAAAGCACTAACCTTATTCTTTTGACTTTTCCTTCTTTCAGTTTTTGCCCCCAGAATCTTTTGACATTGTTTATAACTGGCATTTTAGGGACACTAAGATCACACTTGGTGATCTAGTGCTTTCATCCAGGTACTTATTGGTTACTCATTTGTACACAAAACACTCTAAGCCTGGGATTTCTTTTTATTCTGTAGGTAGCACCCAGTACCTGGTACAAATGCAAAAATATTAAGTAAGGAAAGGTTACAGCTACTGAGCTAGCTCTTGTTTGGAGCAATACCTGGTATTTTCTCATTAGTGGAATTAGTAGGCTGCTGGAGGTATGCATTTATTTGAATCAATTCATCTGACTACAAAAGGAAGCCAGGACACTGGCAGTGAGCATTAGGGGAAATTTACCTGCCAGAGTCCTGGCTGCCTTTATTTCCTGCTGTTTCAGCTGATTATTTCTCGTCCTCCTCAAATTACTCTAAGAATCTAGATAATTTTCACGAACTGATTAGATATGTAGTTTGCATTAGAGTTATTTAAATATGGATTGTCAGGAAAAGAGAGAAAAAAATGTATTTGAGACGAAGGAATGCTGAGTCAAACTAGACGTTTCCCTATTGCCTTTTTTATGCTTCTCTGTCTTGCAAAACAGATTTTCAGTTATTTTAGGGGGAGATGAGGAATCAGGGCTTCAGCTGCTTTATTTGATGGATTGGTATTTTTCTTCTTATTTCTGGACAGAAAGAAGTGATGAGAAAACAAACTCTGGGTGTGTTTACCATGCTTAGCCTGGTGGTGGGTATTAGGTTTATGGGTATTGTTTACAGCTTTTCATTTTTCTTGTTTGCCCTATAAGATAGTTCAATAGGATGGAATTGGATTTGTGTCTCAGTTCAGGAACCACTTAATATTCATTTTCCACAATTTTAGAACATCCCTAAATTTGTTTTTGATTCACAGTGATTTAGTGATCTTTTTCTTTCCAGTTTGAATTTGGTTTACAGTGAGTTAAAAATTAACACAGGATAAATTTAAAGATCAACAAGTTATTTTGGGGATCTTGGCTCATTTTAAACTCCCATTCAAATCTTTGAACAGGTTAGTCGCAGGAATATTAAAATCTCCTCAATTAATTATACTTCCTTTCCCAACTATCTCCAACTGGGAGATAATTTATTTTGAGAAATAATCAATGTAATGAGATTATAATGCACTAAATTAATGTAGAAAACCTCCGAGGTATGTTTCAAGACCAAGCAGAGTGACCTGTTGGAAAAAAATCCACAAACCAAATTAAATAAAATGTAAAAAATCTGGGACTCAAATTAACCACTTTAATTTTGGAATTTGGCTTTATCTGCAAAGTAAATTATTACTTTTACTCTTTGGTACTGTAAATGTGTCCATGAGTAATTGGGGCTAGGGTGTGTCTAATAGGGACCTAGCCAAGTTACACCGTAGATTTCATTTGCTCTCTCCTTGTCAATGGCTTGTTACTGTAAGTGGAACAATCTATATGTTAAATGAGTGTAACAATCATAGTTTTAGAGTACTTTGAGCTTTGCAGTATCAATACATGGGAGATAAGCCCTGATAATGAAAGTTCAAACTAAAATCTGCACATTATTCAAACTATGACCTTTAGTTAAAACACTCTCAAAGATGATGTGTTATTACGAATTTTCTCTTCTTTGTCTATGGACATATTACACAGAAATACTGGTGTTATGTGTTTATTATTTTGAAGTCTGACATGTGTATTTCTCCTAAAGTTTTCATTTGTAATTGTGTAAAGTTCGCAGAGATAAATGTGATGAAGAAATATTTAAGGAGAGTTAATATTTCTTAGAGAAGAGAAGGTTCAGAGAACAAAATTATTTTAGAATTAAATGAATTTTTTGTAAAATAACTTATATGAATTCATAGATTAAAATAAGTTGTGAGATCTGGTATTATTTTGGTATGAACATAGTGAGAAGGGATCAATAAATGGGCAAGGTACAGAAATGATCATACAACATGATAAATATTTAATAAAGGTCTTTAAAATTTATGTTGAAAAGAGCTTAAGTTACAGAAGTAGAAAAGCAATCAGATTTTGCTGATGTGTGAACTGGTGGGTAGAATAGGTTCACACATAGGTCTCTGAAAAATCTTCCTGTTGTTTATGTTCCAACTGAAATTCTCTCATGTCTTCTGCATGTTCTAAGTCCCTCAGTCAGTATCAGTGAGATTGTTGAATTTTCGCTGCATGTTGATTTTATCTTGTTTTTGTGCTCTTTACTTATTTGCCTTGTGTTAGAGTAAATGGGGACAGAGAGCGAGCTGAGATGTTGCAGTAAAAATCTACTTTAACCAAACTTTCTGAGTCCCAGTTTATTCATCTGTGGAATGGGAATAGAAATAGGAACTTGTGGTTCTTGTGAGAATTCCGTGGAAAGCATAAAGTAGCTTGGGCTGAACAGGCATGCAGTGACTGTCAGTGTCCCTCCTGTTTCTGAGTTTCATGTGTAGTTTGTCCCATAATCTATACATTCCTGTAGGGCAGGACAGATGTTTTATATTCAAGGTGCCTTTAGCATAGTAGATTCTAAATGATTATTTGTTGAATTTAATTTGCTGTCCTGCCATAGTTTAGCACCATTATTTCTCATTTTTTCCCCTCTGTCACCTTGGATTGAGATAAACATGTTGCTTTCATGGAATTGAGGATTTAATTCAGTAGAATGGCACTGTAACATGACTTAGTCCATAGAGTTTGATATAGTAAGAGTCAAATCATTTCCCTGGAAACTTAATTATATTCTATAAAATCTTATTAGCCTGCCTCATGGCATCACAGTCACAGTGGAGCCCTGGTGTGTTAAAGACGGTGAATTCTCTATCTGTAGAAACGTATGGCACAGAGGAAGAAGCATCTGGTAAAATAATGACAGAGAGGGAGCCAATGCAATTGTCTTGCAAATTATGTTACATGACATTTTCAATCACTCTTTGAGTGTGTTCTAATTTACTAAAATAAACCAGGAATTTAATTTCTTGTGAGCTTCCTTTGCTTAATTATTAGTGCAGACAGTATTCTGTGATGTACTGTACTTTGTCGGCTTTGTATTTATCTAGTGTCTGACTTAAAAATGAACAGGAACATCCTGATTCAGCAGAATTGATTTCATAACTCATCTGTGTTATGGAGCAGACATGAATAAATGTTTGCCGAACACTGTGATCATCAAAGTGTTAGGAAATGTCTTTCCTTATTCTGAAATACAATTCTGAGAGCTCTTCCTTTCTGAACTTTGCTGGGTGACCTATTCTCCATACATTTTCTACGGAGACGAGCCACATTCTATGCCACTACAGCAAAATATTACGCAAGTAGCTGCTTTTCTGTAAATATGTGACTGGAGTGTGAGTGCTCTTTTAATGTTTCCTCATTGTGTTTTGAAATTATACATTTTAATATAATATTTTCTTTAAAAGTAGAAGTATATCCTAAAACATGAAATTTATTATTTTTGAAAATGAAGTATGTTGTTTTTCTTAGAGTTCTTTCATGCAATAAAATTGGTTGTAATTAGGATACAGTTTACCTTTGTAATGGTCCCTAATTATTTCCTTGAAAGATAGTTAGCTAGCATTTTTAAATCTCTCTACTGTGGATGGGAGAAACCAAGGCTCGTTCTTGATTTTTTCCCTGGGTTTGCTAGCAGAGAAATTGAGAAAAATATACTATTACCTAACGATTTGTTTTTGTTTTCATTTTCAGTTTCAAAGAACTTTTGAATCTCTTAAGAATGTTTCCAACATACCTGACCTCCAGAAAGCCTACCAGAAGCTTGGGAAGGAGCTGGAAAATCTAGATTATTTAGCCTTCAAACGTCAGCAGGTAGGAGTCAGCACTCTCTGTGGTGAAGAGAGGAGCATTTAGGCTTCCTGCTGTCCTGCCTGTCAGAGGTGCAAAGGGTCTGGAGAGACTTATCTTCTAATGGTTAGGGCCAAAATAGCTTGCGCTGAGCTATCTGCTGTGTTCATACGGCTTCCTGAAGTGTTCAGTGTGGACCTTGCTTTTAGATGTATACTTCAAGGGTTTCCACATGTGTCCTTATACCTCTTTTAAAGAAAACACCTGCTGGTTTGTGAAGGTCCAACTACTCCTTTACTAATGATGCCTTACTGGCAGATAGGGAACCTGTACGATGTGTTGGCCAGATGGCTTTTATATTTGATGGGATACCTAAGGAGAAAAATCACCCAAAGACTAGTTAAAGGTTGTGGTTGTACATACAAAATTAAGTAAAACAGTCATAAGTCTGCCCAAATAAGCATTGACATTTAGTTTTCTTTTTCGAACTTTGAAAATGAGTAAAAATTTGTTAAATGTGGAAGGGTAAAGGAAAATATGTTTAACTTATCTATGTTATGCCTCCTTGTGCAAAGGCTCTAAGATGAATCCAGAGCAAAAATAAGCTTTTACAGGGTTGCTTTTAGAACTGGTACTCTATAAACCTGATAGTATTCATAATTAAATTCCTTGTGTTTTGGAGGTACTACCTTAAGTAGAACGTTTCCAGTATTTTTGCAGCCACTAGGGGTCAGGGTTGTCAAGCTTTTACTTTGGTTGAGTGTTTATTCTGATGGGAAAAGCCAGTTAGACGTTGAAATGAGGCCGTGTGAGATGCGGCTGTGCTCAGTGACAGATGACATCTAGAAAAATGACTAAATAGCCGACTTGCGTGGTCAGGTACCGAATCCTTCACCTCAGAGTCCTTCCTGCCTGTTAGTGTGACATTCTTGCCCTTGCCTAATCCACAAGTTTTAGATCTTTTGGACGAGAGTTTTCAAAACAGCACTTTCTATATTTAAGTAAGCTTCATTAAGTCAACCTGATATGGCTTAGAAATATTGGCCCAAGAAGAAACTGAATTCTAGTTCTCACTCTATCACAGATCTTATATGGACATTTCATCTTTCTCTTGACCCTCTTTTCCTCGGAGTTACTTTTCTTTTATAGAATGTTTCAGGACAAATGAATCATCTCTACATATATTTTATGTGACAAGAACTCACTATGCATTTAAATTTTATTTATTTTTTAAATTAGTGCCGGCCTAGGTATTAGATACATAATAGAGGTCGTCATGGTTACTGGGAACTACTGTGGTAGTCCCAGATGTCGACACTTAAAATTTATGCGACGAGTCACTGCTCTGGCCTGTGCAATTTTTAGCAGTGTTGTTTCCAATATCACATTTTTACCAGCAAAGATGTTTGACTTGGCAGGCAGTAGTCACTGTCCTCTTTTCTTACCCTTTCTCATTAGCGCCTTTTCAGTGATGAGATTCTTGCATTAGCTAATGGTGTGCTTGGAAAAGGTGAATGTTTCAGGGTGGAGGCGGGTGCTGGGCACATGGCATTGGAGCCGGATGGGTAAATCATGTGCCTGAGGCAAAGGTGAGCAAGGGCGGTGTCTGCATTTGAATACATAAATCATATGCTCTTTATTCGGTGGTGACTCTCTGTTGCATGGTGTGACTAAACCTTTCATGAATTAAACTGCTAAATATTTCTAGTAATACAGTTACATTGTTTTTTTTTTTTTTTGGGTTTTTGGTTTTTCTCCGGTATCAGGAACCGAACTCACGACCTTGCGCTTGCCAGGCAAGCACTTTTGCCGCTGAGCTAAATCCCCAGCCCCTGGTTACGTTGTTGTTATTGACATTCCTTTACAGAAGAGAACACTATTAAGAGAGTTAAGCAACTCCTGTAATAACGCATGAAACTGGGTTTTAAGACCGAAAGCATTTTGACTTCAAACCCAGAGTGTCATATATACACAGTGGGATTTGTCTTTTATCTCTTTCTTTTCCTTTAAATCTTCAAAACTATTAAGCATCCTCAAGAAACTGTTTTTTCTCCTACTGGAAAAGGAGTCTCTATAAAGTTGTTAATTTAGCAAGAAATCTTCCTTGTTAGACACTAGGATTTTTTGTATCAGAGAATTAATCCTCGTTTGTTCCTGGTCCAACCATATTTATCATTGTTTGTTTTCATAAAATGTAAGCTGCATGAAGACGAGGTCTTGTCTGTACCCATTTTCAGTGTTATTTTCTTCCCTGTTTCACAGTATCTGACCTGTGGGAAATGCTTCATAAATACTACTGGTGGTGCTGCTAGGAACAAAGACGCATACCAAAAATTTTTGCCTTGGATTATAGGCAGTTAAAATCAATGTGTTTCGCTTCACTTCTAAGATTCAGACAGGCATTAGGCCTTAGCTTCCTGTATGCCAAATTGCCTCTTGCTGTATGTCTCACTCAGGATTTTCCTAGCACGTCTCATTCCTCTATGCACATCTTTAGACAAACAGGAAATGTCACCATTAGCTTAGCTCTGGGTTATGAAGGTCAGTGAGTCAGTTATCAGCACTTTGTTGGACTCACTTATTAGATTTTATTTCTGTCTTTTTCTATGATATTTTATGATAATGTTTTATTTTATATTTTTATTTTAAAGAAAAGAAAAATAAACAATAAAGACAATGGTATGAAATTTCAAAACAAGATTGTAGGAGAGTAACAATGGTTAGTACATTGCATATTGTTATCTTCAAAGTAGTTGCTCATATTGCAAAAGTTAGGCATGAGAAATTGATCAAGCAATATAGGCATAAACCTTTCTTTTCAAGATATTTTAAACATCAAGGTGCTTTTCTTTCAGCACCTTGGATTACTTCCGTTTTTTTTACTTCTTTTTTTTGAAAAGTTATTGCATTTTCTCTCTTTTTCTGTATTTTTTTAATTTTATAGAGAATTAAAAACAGTAATAAAGTAACAACATAGATAAAAACAAAACAAAGCAAAAACAATAAAAATGATGCAGAGTTTCAAAGCAGAATGATAGGAATTAACAGTAACTGTTATATCACACACTATTATTCCCAACAAAGTTGCCCAGATCATCAGATGTAAGAATGCAAGACTGATCAAACCATTAAAGAGAATAGAGAATAATAAAAAAATTGGAAATTATACAGAATTTCACTAGACAAAATGCTAGGAATTCACCAATGGTTGTTATATTGCATATTGTTGTGTTCAGATTAGTGTTCAGATTACCAGACATAAGCATGCAAAATTGCTCAAAAAATTTAAGCGTTAACTTCCTTTCAATGACCCATTAGACATTAGCAGTACAATTATTCCAGCTTGTACTTTCTCTCTTAAGTATGAATTCAGTTATTTTTTAAAAAGATTAAGTGCTTGTATTTTAGCTGTTGTTTGGGTGAGGGAATGTACATCTCTATATTTTCTTACTTTCAAAAAGTTAATGATAAAAATAGTTTTGGTTGAAAAGGTAAGAGAGGAGGCTGTGCTGGGTAAGATGGTGAGTACACTGAGATGCGCTTACCTGAAGGGAAGGTTTGAGCTGAAAATCTGGGTAGTTTTTCATTTCCAACTATCTGGAAACACAATCTTGGAGTTTATCTACTTGAACTGCCTGGTTTTTATCCTCCTGGCTAGTGCTCCATAGGACTGGGAATAGCAAACTTCAGTTATTACATAGATCCCAGCTTAGGTATTAATCTGGAAAGTTATAAATCAAGAGATTTTCCTGGGGCTTTGGTTTTATAAAATAAGGTTTCATAATTTAGGTTCTAATTTAATTCTTCCTTCTACCCTCAAAAGTTACAGTAACATTATAAAACACATCTCATTTCCAGAGGCTTTGAGAGCCTTTTGGAATAAACTGAAGTCAACATTATTGAGTGGAACATTATAGAGATTAGAGCACATTTACACGTTGTGGAAATACATGAAAGGTGCACACCAGTGTGGGAACACATCACACATTCCCTATTCTGTCTCTCATCATGGTGTGCTCTTCTTGTCTTGTGGTCTTTGCACAGGCTCACACACCCTTTTTGTTTAGAATGTGTCTTTCTATTTGCTTATTTAACCGCTGATCATGCTTGAATGTCAGGCTGAAGTCTCGCCTCTCTCAGGACACCTCATCCTATGACCTTTAGTCAATGAGTAAACTACTCTTTGTTACCCTCGGCTTTTCTCAGTGTCAGACAGTTCAGCGTCAGATTGGTCACACAGCCATTGAGAACCCCTGTAGGACAGCAGATCCAGTGTGGGCTGTGTGGTTATCCAAACTTCCCTAGACTATTTGTGTTGCCTTGACATCCACGTTTCTTCTTTTAAAATAAAATAACACCTAACTTAAAACCTGTTTTGAGAAAACAGTATATAAAGTGAGTCCTGTAAAGCCAAAAAAGGGCTTAACAAGTACTCACTATGTTTTTAGTATTAATAACTACCCTAATGCTATGTTTTCATATGCCTTTTTCCTAAATGATTTCTGATTTCAAAATTTCTGTTCATACGCTCTTGTACTACACATACAGTGAGGCACAGCACCGTTGCTCACATGGAGTCCAGTGGAGGGTGATGTGTGTTACACACAAGGCGTCTCTTGAGACGGGAGCTGTGACATTTGGCTCCAGTGTATTTCTGCTGTGAAGTCTCTCGCTGGACAAATGGACAAGGTCCAGGTTCTCGTGCTGTGGCAGGACACGGGGAAATGGTCTGAGACCCAGTGACCCGGCCAAATCCAACTCATGGCGTACCTATGTGCTGTGCGTTCAAACTTCTTTTGTGCTTATGGGTGGCATTGTTCACCACAGTATGATCCTGTCTTTAGTGATGGTGTTCAGGAGTGAACACTGTTTTTATTTATTTACTTTTTCATTTACTAAACTGGGTGAGTTACGCCCTTTGGATAACTCTGAGACCAGACAAGTATGTAATACTTTGTAGACTAGGAATACTACTCTGTCTTAAAGAAGGATAAATTTGAGGTATTTGTAGGAAAATGGATGTA